ATTCATTAATTAACCTAGTAAATTTGCTAATGAATATTTTAATAGTGTTAATATGCTGCATATGCAAATTGAGTCTGCAGAATGTCACCTGGAGAAGTACTTCAATGTTTGGTTAATTTGTGATGCAAGTTTTGTTTTGCCACTCTTATCCTTCCTGTAGATCAGGCAGGTAGCTTTCCAGTAATACTCACATCCTTAGACCAAGCCATCATGGAGGACAATTTCACACGGGCAGTGAAGGTTAAACATTTTTAAAATGCAAACAAAATTAATTTTTAAAAGCTTCAAAAAAGCTTTGGATTCAGAAAGCCCTTTACAATCCATGGGCAGTGCTCTTTAAGAAAAGATGCTCTTAAGTTATGCAGACTTATTATTTGTCAGTTCAGAGATTTCTCCATCTCCTCTGCCACATAGTCTGTATAATTTAAGGTGACTCACTGTACAGGAAAGTTCACCTTCCATTAAAATGTTTTCTTTAGTAAGCACTCTCCTGGAAGTGCTGTAGTGTAAACATGAGTGGCTACGAATACGAACATTTATTAAATAGTGCTGATGAATTTTTCAATACCTAAGGGAGAGCAATTCACAGCTCAATCATTCAGGCCATTTTAAGTGCTGCACAGGACAATTCCACTACATCTTCCATTAATATTTAATTGCCCATTTTATTCTGTTTACCTTTTTGGTTAATATATAATTTAAAGCTCTTCTACTAAAAAGGAGGGGGAAAAAAAAGAGAACAACTGTTAGCCTGCTTTTAACAAATCTCTGGTGAGAGCTTTTCCTTCATTTAAAATTCATTGCAAAAAAATTTTATTTAATATCAGTAACACAAACCCCAGGTATTAAAGCAAAACTTGGAAGCAACTGTTGCGTAACAGTCTTGACATTGACTTAGATTTGACTGAAAACAGTTTCTGACTGGCAGCCTTTGACAAAGCACCCCAGCAGCCTGGGATGATGCCACATAGCCTGACCATTGGAAGAAAGTACAAAAAAACCCACTGTGACAGACACCACTCTTGTTGCACAAAGGTTATTCCAAAGGAAGTAATATTCTTCATGGTCTTGGTGGAGAGGGAAAAAAGATTAAAAAATATAACAACAACATTTTGTTCACATTTACAAAAATTGGTAATGTTTACAGCTGGATATATCACACCATGATGTTTAGGAAAAAAACTGCTTGATTAATAGGCCTGAAAATATTTGGGTACTGTAAACTCAATATGAAAGCAACAATCATGTAAGAGTGTTACACTTGCTCTTCACTGCCAGTCTTTGGGATATCACAACATATCACAATCAGGAATCTCGTAAAGAATGATTATTTATTAATATCAGTAATAGAGCTGCTTTTGAATTTGGAACAAAATTAATAGCAGTGGTACTTAGGCTTCGCTTATTATTGTGAGAATCACATGTAAACTCAGATGGGCTTAAATTCTGGTATAAGTGTTGTTGTTCTGAACTATTCAGAGTCTGTAGGCTTGATCTTGCACTTTCTGTAGCCTTTAATATATATAAAGCAGATTAGGAGTTTTTACAGCCTATAATCACTTTTATCACCTCCTGCCCTAAGATAAGATCTGTGGTTTGTGGAACTCCAGACACAATTTAATAGCTGCCTTGAGTTCTCCTTTGGCTTTGCACAAGGAATATTACATGAGTACAGAACAGGCAAATACTATTTGCATTAAGAAATAAAGAAATCTTTATATTGCTTACCAGATCACAGTCTTTTTGTAGTCTTTATTCATTTAGCAGACAGGTTATTTAAAATTATCCTCTCTATATATATTATCCTTATGTGCATAAGATGGATAGATAGAAGCAGATACAGACACAGACACATATGTACACATACATCCAATAGTGCATATATATACACATACACACAAATACAGACATATATGTACGTATAGACATATATACACACTATTTCTTCACACAGAGAGCTACCCTTCAAAGGAACTTTCATGGTTTTACATGAATAACAAATCCTAGATATTACTGTGCATGCTCTGAGTTTCACTTAGCTTTGTCTTTCAAAACCTGATTACTAGGGAAAGGCCAGCAAGGGTATCATGTGTTCTGTCCTTGCAGAAAGTTATTTGTGTTCTTTTCAGCTAAGATATGTCATGTCATCTCACAGCCAGTGCTTACCAAATGTCTGTTCAATATGGTACAGAATGTGAGAAAAGATAAAGACATTGGTCATGCCACATTTTCTACTGATGTAATAAAATAAAGATGATTAGTATATTTTCATGCACATAATTTCCATCTGTACCTAAGTCAAATTAGGAGCTCAGGATGTATGCAATAAAAGATCAAAGAAGAATCCTGACCTATTCAAATGTTGAGAAGTTTTTGAAAAATAAGCAAATAATTAACTTAAAAAATTAAATTCCTTAGCTTTTTTGGCTCATTCCCTTCTTCTCATTTTCTTTTCTAGTCACTTGGGGTACATTTACATAGCATAATAATATGTAATGGAAGTAGATCTAGATGAGGTACTAGAAAGATGGTGCATTAAGCAAGCATTTTGTCTGGGTCAAATATGCCTTGCTTTTCAGAATTAAATATAATATAAAGATTATCATATTCATAATCACAAGATCAGAGCTTAACTTATATAACACCCTGATGAAAGTGAGAAAACATGATCATACTATACAAAGTTAACATGACTTGAGCTATTATATTTCTTTAAAAAATGAAGGAGAAACAAAAAGCATCAACAGAGTAAAACAGAAGATCCATAGTCTTCAAGGAGGAGACATGTCTAGTACAATACATAGAACTGGAAAATATTTAGATTTTCTTCTATTACATGTTCATTGAACTTGGGAACAGACTAGGCATACTCCATGTCATCATCTGTGACCTTGCTCCATAGAGTTAAAATCTCAAGGTAACAGTGTAAGTCTTCCTTTTCACATGTGAACTAGCTGAGAATATTTATCATTTCTGTCTGTAGTAATACTGGGGGAAGGACAACTTTGGCAGGAAATTTCCATGTTTAATCACCAGATCAGTAACAGTCAGTCAATACAATCAAGAAGAAGGTCACTGTATTTGAATCCTCAGACTTTATCATAGTCTAGAAAACTAATCTCTAGAAAACCAAGTCTGGGTGAAGTTTAAAGGAAAAATATCTCCATTAAAAGCAAAACCACACACTCACACCCCCTTTCTTTGATCTTAGCAAGAAATATTTTGAATCTTCAGGAATTCCATACAGCAAAGCTTCAAGCACGTGCAAGGTCAGGAAACAGTAATTTCCTCATTAAAAGTCCAAGCCATGAGGATGCGTTTCCTCCTCTGCGTGATCAGTGTGCTGTGACATGATTGCTAATGGTCTCTCTCCACTGCCGCTATTTTCCATGACCTCCAGGAAAACAACAAGTGATACCTACCTCTACTCCAGCTCTTAGGTCTGTTTTGAGCTTGTGCTTGTTGCATAGAGTAAGTGCCAGCCACTTACAGTCTCATTTCCCCTATCAGCCCACCTAAAATACTAGTGCTCTGCAACAGGAGGGGCACTCAGTCTGAGTTATAAGCCTATCCTGTCTGAACTCATAAAAGTGATACTTAAGCTATAGACTCACCTAGTAAAATAAAATGTGTTTTTTATCAGTAACTTTGTTATAGCCTGCAAAAATACAAGGTCTTTTGTTGTTTGGGGTTATATTTTTTGTGCTAAATCTAGTTGCCTGCCCTACACAGTAAATAGCTAGATCTTATTATTTTATTTATGTTTAGCCAGATGGTAAAATGGATTTACCAGTTAAAATCTATTCGCAGAGACCAGAGTAACTGTTGTTATTTGAGAAAGGCTAGTGATCTTAATACAACAATCAGAGATGGTGTTTGCATGTTAAAATCCATTTTCAGCACGGAGACAATGAATTCATAGAAGCTACTCGGTCACTGAAGAAGCAGAATGGATGTTTTTCTAAGTTTGTCTGAACAACAGATATGCACTGCATATTATTGATCTACCTGCTGTCTAGGACTATCTGCAAACTGAAGCAAGGAGAAATAGGAGAAAATTCATTCTTTCGATTTGGTGTTTCTCCACTCATTGTTTATTAAATCATCAAAATATTTGTGGTCATTGTTTCCTGATTTTTTGTTTCTTTCCTTTATTACACTCTAAATTGCTAAACACAGAGATGTTTAGAAGTTGTTTCCAATCACTGTCTAAATTTCACATTCCCTTGAACTTCCTCTCTAGACTTAGCATGTCACTAGTTAAATATAGTCTATTCATATCATTCTCCTGTTAAATGCATTCAAATTCTTCCCTCTTGCTCCTGGAAAGCTGACCCCAGATGGGATGCATCTTTGTTTTTTTAATATTTGTAAAGTCAACTGCAAGTATTTTTTAATGTCCCTCATATTTTCAGTCTGTTGTCTCTAACGTCACAGTGTTCCTGGTGGATGTTCTGTACCAGTAAAGCCTTTTACTTTCAGGATTGATACTATGCTTCATTCAGTACTCACTGTATAAAGACAAGCTCTTAATTTTTATCACATGCTTATAATTTTTTGGAATTTCTCTAGTCACTTCCGTGGATTAGATGGAAACTGCTACTATAGATTTCAAGCACAACACTAGAGGTTTAATATACAAGCAGATCATCTGAGTCAGTTGTGCCTTGTTGTGTAACCTCAGATGTTGTTGAAATACTTTTTGACAATTGATACTGTGTTCCCAAACAAACCACATGCATATTTTTTTTTCTGACTGTTTTTCTCTCCCAAAAGGGTGAGTCCATTTGTTGTATGACATCCTTCAGGAAATCAACTCAAATTTGTTCAGGTGCCCCTGTTCTGTGCTGTCTGAAGATGACAAACAGTGGGGTGAAGAGTGACAGAGTTGGGCTCCTCTGAGGAAAAGGGTACCATTTCTTTTCCTTTTCAGGGTACACAGTACACAGGAAAAGCAGACAACACTGTAAGTTAGAAAGTAGTCACACTACATCCCTTACCTCATCCTCAACAGCCATACAGGAGGAGTCTTACCAATGCTCATAGGAATCAATACGTTGGTCTTGTAGCACGTAAAATCTGCTGCCGCTTTGTCAGACCCAAACAGCAACACTGATGCTGCCAGGCTGGGTGTTCAGAGAGCTCTGTCTGCTAATGCTGTACCTTCTGCTCCATTTCACCCTAAGGATAGACAGGACACTACATTAATTCTACATACATAGTAGTAACTGTATGATTCAGAAGACTATCAAACATTTGAAATGGATCAGTCACAAATGTCAGCAGAAGCCTGGATCTGCAAACCTTTTGTATCGTGTATTGGTGACAATAGCAATTAAACATAAAAGAGAATGGTTACTTTAAAATGTCACTAGAAGTGGGCCCTGTACTTCAACAGTTGATTCATCTTATGCAAATACATTACCTGCTTGAAACAGTATGACCATGTTTATCTTTCTGCCTTTGTGACAGGACCACACCAGTAAATTGAATGTAATCAGCAATTAACAGTGAAGCTTTCAAAGTCCCTTCACATAAGTAGAGAACTCTGTAACAGTCAGCAATTAAGACTCATATTCTTTGTTCCCATATATGTACCTGTGCACATCTTTATAGATATTCCTACATGTAACCTTCATGATAAGGAAAAAAAAAAGCATTTGAATGTATTTGTGGAAGAGGTTAATCAAGATGATCTTTCCAGTATATCTCTCTAGACAGGCTGTATGCATGCTGCAGATGTGCTTCATGAAGTACAGGCAGACAATAGATGGGGAAATACTCACAAAGACATACCTTGTGCAAATCTCACTGCCACTGAAGTACATACTAAAAACCATTACTGAATCAGAGTAGTATGGCACTCAGTGGTATTCATATAAAAATATTCTCTCTTACATATAGACTAGGTTTTTCACACACAGACTTCACATAAACTCTGAAAAAGTTAGAAGTATACAGAAAGTTTCAGAAAAAAAGGACAGTTTACCATATCACTTTTGAACTAGACCAGGACAGAGTCATGCAAGAGCACTGAGATTTCAATACAGAGTCATTCAGAAAACATCTTGAATTCCTTTTTTCAAACAGTGCAAAAACACTCTGTCATCAAAATAGAGTTAGTAATTCTCATGTAATAATGAGTTTCCAAACAAGATTTAGAGGGAAATAAAAGGAAAAGAGTTGAAGGGAAAAATGAAGGAAAAAGTGTTTCCTTTAGAGAATTAAAGGAAGAAAAATCCAAAATACTCTGTTCACTAAGTAAGTGAAAATCAAAAGTAATTGACGCCCTCAGTTAAAATGGTGTTTGGCCTGGCTTTACTTCAGGCTATGTTTGGTATTTAAAGTTGGACTTTTTCATTATGAAAAGTGTTTTCTGTCAAGGAGAATTCTACTACATTTTTAGCTATCGTTGAACACCTTAGGAAGTACTTTTTCTCACTGTATGTGTCCAGCATTTATAGACAAAAGGGGAGGAAGGTGCATTTTGTTCTAAATTATGTTAATCTAAAATATTGTGTTGTTCAGACTGATACTCATCAGAACAGTTTCTGCCTTACCATAACCACAATTACTGCTGAGAAGATCAACAGAGGAATTTGTGTATTTTCCCTTAGAGCTGTTCTGATATGAGAAAAAACTATAAGACAGGTCCTATCTCTGCAATATCTAGAGTCCTGTCTTCATGCAAAAATTGCACATACTTGTTCATTAGATACATTTTATGCTAATGCTTTAATGACTCTATTAAAATTAGGACTTTCTTCATTATGTAAATTTAGATATAGCCTTTGAAAAAGACTAGTATACAATGTATATGAATCTAGGATTATCCACCAGTTTGTATTCCATTTAATTTTTAAAATAAATTTCTTTACTTATGCTAAGTATCCATCATATTCTACTGTATATATGACCAGTGATGTAAACCCATTACAATCATCTGACATACATTTCCAAAAAGAAGGAGAAAAGTATTAAAAGATTCAGAGAATTTAACTTGATGATTTTCTCATCTAATTTATATTTATGCAGTTATACCAGTCCATCCATTCAATGCATTAATATATATATCTATGGTACATACATTCACTGATGATGTGCTTTATTTCCAACAGACAGAAAACCTGATTCTTTGCATAGTCTTAAAATTATCACTAGAAAGAAAATAAGCGACTCTGTACCAAATATTTTCTTGAACTGAATTAGAAATTCCCTGGTGCATCTTCTTTCACCAATTAGGAATAGAGATGCATTTTTACAGATAACCCTAAACTGTCCACTTTGGGTCAGATATAAATGCTGAATTCAAAAAGCAGCACACAGTGCTTATGATATTTGACATGAAATGTCTAGCAGCAACAGTAATGGAGTTAGTTTCTTTTATCCTAGATGTGCGATAAAATACAATTAACACCATGTATACTCTTTCTCTGCATCTGATACTAGGTTATGGCAGTAAAATGCACCACGTGTCTCTCATCCAAACTGAATTATGGAGAAAATGGGATACAAATAAAACAGGTAGTTATAATTTCCAAATGAGTTTATGAGAAAAAAAAATGGCTTTTTGTACTTTTAAATATATGAGCTCTTTTTAGTATAAATCTGTGTGTTTGGCAGGATACATGCTTTCCTACTCTAAGGCTCATGTTTCACGGCTTATCTTTGATAGTGAACAGAAGCCAAAGTACATTCTTCTGCACTTAAACAACACACACAATAGGCATGTCAACAAAATTTACAGGATAATGAAACAATGATTTCTTTTAGGCATCTGTTTCTTCACATCAATTTCTGTAATTATTGCTACAATCCATTTTCAAGTCTTCATAAGAAATAATATTAGGTAACATTAATAAGAGTATTTAGTTAGATGATTTAAGATTCAGTTTGGAGCTAGATTTCAATTAGCTTAAATCAAGTGGAGGTATGAATGTGTCAGAGAGAAAGGTGGGAGAAAATGCAGAGAAGGTTATTTATTTTGCTTTGCCTGACTGACTACTAAGGGAGAGGAAAACGTGCCATCCCAGCTCTGTTATATATAGCCTTTGCTTTTTCTCCTGACTTCCCTTCTCCCCAGCCCCCTGACAGACAGGGAAGTTACAGCCAATGCTAATTTAGATAACATCTAAAGCCTTGCCTGACAAGGTAAATTCAAATTATGAAGCAATCCCTTCACATAGAAAGACCTTGTTAGTTAGATTAGTGGTGGATTGGCTCTGTGTGACAGCTTGTTTGCTAAAGGTGAGCTATCTGCATTTCCAATGCAGGAAAGCCGTATCATCATTTAAAGAAAAAATAAAGATGTCATTTCTGTTATTTGTCACAGAGTTCATGTAATATTCCTTCTCAGTTTTCTTCATTGTTGACTTCTTAGGGAAATATCAGCAACTGTGTACCTTTGAGTGAGACACCTAATTTTGTTATGGATGAACATAGTGTTGTGACAAAACAGTGGCACAGCTGTCATAACAGCTGTCACACATTAATCATGACAGTGACAAATAGCATAATTACTTTATCTGGAATGTCTAGCATGCACACTCAGTATGTACTACTGCAGAGTAAGCATATCAAGCATAGTTTAATTAAAATACATCAATACAGGTTAGTTAGACATGATCTTGGAGACACTGATACAAAATGAAAATAAAATTATTTATCAGGTCCTTTTTAGGGACACTCAAAGACCAATTACTTAATCGACAAGATAATTTGAATTTCTTTCCCTAATCAGTCCCTTTGATGCCAATTCTACATGGTGAATTGAACTATTGGCATGCATATATTTCTGACCCAAAACTTCAGCTCTGAGCCATGTTCAACAGTTATGCTTTCTTCCAAGATGGCTTAAATGTTCACATCTGTCCCACATCCTTTGATTGCACAAAATGTAGCAAAATAACAAGCTTCATTGTGTGCTGCTGGGTAAAACTTTTCTTTCCCACAGACTCCAGTGGAGATAGAATAGTGAAGATTGTGTCACAACGTGTGCTCTCGGTTCTGCAATTGCACCTGCTAAGGCTTAGATATTATGTAGTAATAACCCATTACAAAGATAACTGCCATTGAAAAATACAAATCCAGATCAGGCTCTAATTTCAAACAATCCAAAGCATTAAGAGGTAAGTTTTTGTTTCAGGACTCTATACAGTTCAAAGTTTCTTTACTTTAGCATCACTCTCTGGGTCCACATGTGTAGGCAGGTTTACAGCTGTTCTGTTTAGGCTTTTCTGAAGATAAAATACACCCCCAAAATACTGTTGCCAAGGTTCACTTCACACAACAAATTCCACTGGTAATTACGAACTCGTAGTATTTTTACTTTTTGCTCCAGATTTGTTAAGCTCTGCAACTCATTGAATTCACTTATTGAATTTCTAGGGGCAGTTCATGAATTGTACTGAAGCCGACTCAATGAAATATTAATGAATCAATTTCCATAGACATGGATTCATTATCTCACTGGATGGCATCAGAAAACACAGTCCTGCAGGCAGTATCCTTCCACCTGCCTGCCAGAGGATTTCATTTTATTATTCAATTTTTAAAGCCCACACTCAGACTTCTTGGTAAGTTTACACCAGTAGCTTTTCAATCTCTTGCTCCAAGAAAATAATTAAGGGGGAAACATTGTAAAATTATTTAGCTGAACCTCAGTAATCCATCAAATGTGATTTAATATTAACCACAAAGCAAGATTGTCAGTGATGTGCTATGGATCACAGGAAGCAAAGATTTTTCAAACACAATAATATATTTCAAAATATGAAAGCATTTTTTTAATATATTAAGAGCTATAAAGGGAAAAATGGCAAAATATTTTAGTAATTTGATTCTGGGGGTAGAAAATTAATGAATCCAGGATTAAATGACTGTCTTTAAGATTTTTATGCTTCTACAGAGAAGCTACGTGGAGCTATAGTCTCCAGAAATACACGTAATATCTTGAAAACCTTTTAGTCATATATATTTTTAAGACACCCCATGGTTACCCTGTGATGCCTTACATAATTACTCATCTGTTCTTTAGTAAGCGCACAACTACCAAATTAACTACTTGCACCTGATTCTTCTCCCACATGCTTCAGGTTTGTAAGTGAAATTATTGCACTGACTTCCTGTAGGTTAACCATGCAGGAAAGACAAATGGCTCATCTCCTTTGACATCCTGTGTT